ACATTCACAGTCTTTTGACCACAGAACAGATCTGATGAGACCTAAGTTTACACCCCCCCAGAGATTCATACAATTCATAGAAAATAAACATGAAGATTTAGTCTTTGACTTTACCTCCTTGTATGCTGCTATTTCTGACTCAAAGTCTCTGTTGTACTTGCGGATCTTCTGACGCAGGGTGCTGAGAGCTTTTGCATTGTTTTTGTTCATCTTCTTCTTCCCCTCTTTATCCTCCCAAAGCTGTAAAAATAATGTTAAGTATTTGATTAGGACAAAAACAATTAAATCATTAAATTGTAGTTTAATTTTTTGTCTAAGCTACTAACCTGGTTCAAATAGTCCTCCAAGTCAGCCAGAAGGCGGATATAGAAGGGAGGAATACCCTCTTTATCCACTATATTCTTGCTTTTAAGGAAGGCTCGACAAAGCTGCTCAAACTCCTCCAGACATTTGGACATGTCTCGAATCTTCATAGCGTTGCGGATAGTCTTTATGAGGTTCGTCAACTCTTCAAACCTAAGATTCAAGAATAAATTCAGTCAAAAGAAAGAAAAAAATAGGCAAAATTTTGTATAGACTTTAAAGTTGTGACCTTAAAAAATACCACACCAACCTTTTATCTTTGGCGCTGCGCACCACTCTTTTTGTGTCCTCCTCATCATCGCTAAGAAGCAGCGACCTGTGAAAACCAAGTGCACAAGTCAGATCTTTACAGGAAGAACAATGTGTGTGATGAGCTTGTGATGAGATTTATTCCAAGTTTCACTTACTGCTTGAAAGTGGCTCCGGGTGCCTTAGGGGTGATCTCATCGGCAGATGAGGACTCCTCTGACTCACTGTCAGACCCAGTGGCAAAAAATCGAGACATTGCTGAAGGATGTTGCCAATCTGTACAGAAAGTAATGAGTGGTATTACAAAGATGCAGCTCCAGAGTCTACATGTGTTCTATCAGCACACATTCAGCTGACAAAGATAATCACTGTGCATCTAGGGCTGGGCCATATTATACCGTTCACGGTAATACCGGTACAATGTTAGGCAACTATAAGAAAATGAAATATCGCAGTAGAATATGGGTAAAACGCGCATGCGCAGTGCCTTTGTTTTCATACAGACATGGCCGGAAAAGCACGGCGACAACAGAGAATGAGAAGGGGGAAAGCGGATTGTTGAGTGAAACGGATGAACCAGAATTGGATTGTAAAAATGGTGCAACTTCAGTGATGTGGAACTGGTTTGGTGTTTGTCTGTCACATACACACAAAGCACATTTTTTTTGTAGAACATGCAAGCGCCGTTGTTATTCCTGTATTTGTCGGACTAAGGTGCTCGTAAATCT